GTGTGATGAGAAAACCAAAGCTCCAGCGATAACAAAAGAATGACACGGCCAATTTCAAAGGCCCCGGCTTCACTCGATGATGTATGTTGCTGGTGATCTGTCAAGCACTGCCCGGTCCATCAATGATGTTCGTGCATATTTTCGATTTCGCAGTCCAAGTTCGAAGTTTAGTGGGAGTATATAGATAACGTAAAAAGTGTACCATGTTGTAGAGCGTGAAAATGATCGCTCGTGGTTTTTGTACTAAGGCCTAATTTGAGAAATTGCTCGGTTCCCTGCCAAAACCCGAAGCTATCCGTAGAGGTCGTGATACATTTGAAAAGTACATACATTGATTTAGATTTTTTATCCACCGGAATGTGTGATTCCTATCTGATGGGAGTTTTCTTTCCAAGGGGCGGCGGCTTGGTTTTCCAACTCTAAGTATCTACCCCGGGCACTGGGATACGTTTTCTTTATCTGAAGGGCAATAATCAATTTAGGGTCAAATAACCTCTTGGCTACTTTTTATAATTTTCCACTCCGTCTGCTTTTTCTTCTCAGATCGGTTCGAGTGCAATGCCGTACAAACGCAATCCGATTCGATCAGAGCGAGCGTGTGCATTGGCACGCTATCTGATGCATGCTTCCGCTTCGTGCACGGCAACTGGAGCGGTGCAGTGGCTCGAACGCTCACTCGACGATTCAGCTGTCCGACGTATTGTTCTCTCCGAAGCATGCTTGGCGGCTGATGGATGCCTGTCCTTGTTGCAGAATGTTGCCGAAGGATTGACAGTCTATCCGAAGGTGAAAACTATTTTCACTCGCTTGCAATACATGCACTTTGAAGTTTTGGTTTTCGCACTTGAATTCCATCGCTGAGTAGTTGGTTTTCACAACTGTGTGCAGCGCGTCTCCTATTTCTGCTTCAATGTCAGCTGCGATTAAGGCACAAAAAACTAGTAGTTGCTTAGTAACTTTAAAAATAGTCATACCCAATCCTGGGGAAGAAGGTATGGTGTATCTGGCAAGGTACATCATTGCATGTATAAACCGGGCGGGAACACAATTCGGACACTACCATACAGTGTGCGCGATATCGCAATACCGGTGAACAAACGAAAGTGGGTCCAACCAGTAAGATACGAGTAGCTCAGTAACTACGGGGATATCAAAACTCACATCAGAACCACAGCCTATATTGACACTCACTAGCTTAGTTAACTTTCTTCAAGTCTTCAAAATAAGCTGCAAAAGGTTTGCCAGACACTAAACCTTTTGGAAGTGAAGTTGTCCGAATATCATATCAAAATGTCCTGGAATTATTTCAGAATGTTCGGGAATCACTTCAAGTTGGCTGAACATTATTTCCAGAGACCTGGCGATTATTTCAAGTTTTCCAAGCATCATTTCAAGATGTCCTCGGATTATTTCAAGCTGTCGCGTTGACCTCACCGGCGCTGATAAGCCTCCCAGCGATGTCTGGATGACTACCATGCAGCACCGATTTCTCTACCTCCTGTTGAAGTGCGGCGGACGATTGTGAGACGAGATTCGGTCACACACGCCTCAATTCTCATGGCATACACATCGGTTGTTTATCTTGCTAGTACGCGCATGCCTCTGTGTGTGTCCCCC